TTCTTCATAGCAGCCATTCTTTCTGGGGTGAGGTGGAATCTCAGTGTTGTTTTCATCTGCATCTCTCAAATGACCAGTGATGATGAACATTTTTTCATATATTTATTTGCTGCTTTTACTTCTTTGTCTGAGAAATGTCTGTTCATTTCAGATGCCCATTTTTGAACTGGGTCTTTGAATTTGGGTGGTAGAAACATCAATTTATTAAAATCCACCTCTGCTATCCCAGAAACAAGGGAGAGGTGCTGGGGAAGTGACTCAGGAGCCCTCTGCGCCTGCTGCCCCGCCCCCAGCGGGCCAGACATCCTGCTCTCCTCCCTCTGCAGCTGCTGGCATCCTCGCCTGCCACCTCCTCTTCTGCATCCCCAAGGAGTCCAGGGTCCTCTGCTCTCCACTGAAAATGCAGGCAAACAGGGCATCAACTGCAACTCTGAACTCTGCAGGGCATTGGACTGGGGCCACCCTGCCCTAGCCCTGCAGCCCACTGCTCCTGCCCACAGGGAGCTGCCCTTCCACCACCTCCCCTTCCTCCCCTTCCCTCTCCTGTCCCTGCCAGCATGAAAGGGACGTCACAAAACCACTGGAGAAAACAGCACGCAGGACGCAGAGCTAGACTGCACTCCTACCTGCTGTGTGCATGGCTCTGCTATCGAGTCCCTTGGTTCTACACCCAGGGTGTGTTTCCTGCCGGCTGGTTGACCGGCAGTGGCAGAGAAGGGTCCAAATGCAGGCCCAGATGGTGGCCAGGCTCCTGGCCACACACTGTCCAGCCTGCCTCTTACGGCCGGCAGAGGCCGTGGCTTCGCTGGGAGCAGGGTCCCCATCTGTAGGCCAAAGAGGTGAACAGCGGGCAGGAAAGGGATGGGGCCCAGGGCAGGCTCGCTGGGCCTCCTCCTGGGAGGAGGGTCGAGGGGCTGGGATCTCCAGGGTGGCGGGCTTCACACAGAGGGCGCAGCCTGTGCGCCACCATCCCGGCCATTCCAGCATGAGCCGCGTGGCCATGGTCACCAGTGCCCTCTGTCATCTCCTGAGGGTCACAGCCAGAGACAGGCCCCTCAGAGTTTGGGGCTCAGGCAGTTGGGGGCAGCTCCGGTGGAGGACTGGCAGGGACGGGTACCCCAGGGTGGTCCCAAGCATGGGCCTGTGCCTGGGGCTGAGAGAGAAGCTGGCAGAGGGAGCTCTGCGTGTCCAGGGAGAGAGGACAGAGGTTGCTCCTCCCTCGGGCACTTGCCTGCAGCTCCAGAGTGGAGTCCAGGGGAAGCAACAGGATGACCCCACCGCCGAGGGGCTGTTACCCTCCTTGCCTGAGGACATTTCTGGGGCACAAGACAGGGAACTTGGCTCCCCTCGAGCCCCAAGTCACTCACTTTCATGTCGCCCTCGGCATCCAGCAGGATGTCCCCTGGGCAGGGCACACCCCTGCCTGAGCAGTCTCTTCCCAGCCTCCTTCTCCTCCAGCAAGTGGGCTGAGCTGTCCCCACTGCGTACCACGAGCTGTAGTGACCAGAAGCAGGTGCCTCTCATGGGAGGGACGCAGACCCTTCACTGCGTCCACCTCGGCAGAAGCCGGCAGGAGCCGCCGCTGTGTGTCTCAAGCAGGACTTTCTCGGCCACTCAGCCCGGGGAGGCGGTGCTGGGCAGTGTCACTGACACACTCGCCCTGTCCAGAGGGCCTTGGGTCCCAGTGTGACCCAGGAGGTGCGGCCATGCAGCCCTGCCTTGCTGTCACCGGAGCATGGTCGCTACTCTGGCTCAGCATCCTGGACGCACTGCCAGCGCTGTCCCCGCGGCAGTTCCGTGGACATGCGGGTGCTGGCCCGGTCTGCAGGTGGCTCGGAGGCTCAGAGGCTCTGTGTAGATGACACAGAGCAGCTCATTACCCTGGGGCAGAGTCCTGAGCCGGGCCTCTCCCTCCCCCCCCCCCCCCCTGCACCCTCTCCTTCTGTGAGGTCAGCCTCTTAGGAAAGGCTGCACTCCTAAGTGTGGGTGTGCGTCGTCGGCCTGTCCCTGCCTGGCTTATTTCATTTTGTACAATCACCACAAGAAAGCGTGGGAGGCACGTGGGTTACTTGATCTCGGTCTTCATTTCTCACTGTGCACATCTGCAGACCAAAATACCACCGCGTGCACCTGACCACTTACAATCTCTGTCATCAAACCTCAGTAAAGGTAGAACCAAAATAAAGAAAAAGTATACAGACAGATAAAAAAACCACTCCCAATAAACTATGACTGGACGGGAACTTGTTTAGTCTCCTCCGAATCTCCCCATAACTAAGGAAGTAACCTGCCTTAGCCTGTGCTGCTGGAACCACACACAGGGACCCCAAGATCCCTTCCCCGCGTCTGCGAGGGCCAAGGTCCAGGGCCCAGCGCGCGTACCCCTCTCCACTGCGGCCCCCCCTTACCCCCCAGCACCCCCACCCGTGTCAGCCGGAAGTCTCAAGGCCCACACATGGGAGGGGACACATTCAAACTGGGACACAGACCTACAGTGAGAACCACGCTCAGTGACGAAACAGGAAGCGCTTTTAAGCACTGCATCAAGAGGAACGTCAGAGGGCTCTGGGCTCTGGTACCACCTCTCTGCATACTGTGCTGTTTTGTTCTTCTACATCACTGAGGAAGGCTTTAAAGAAGAGAAAGGGGACACAGTTTTATTTTGATTTTTTGTCTTGTTTATGGTCCTGGGGATTAAAGCCAGGGCCTTTGACTGAGCCACATCCTCAGCCCTTTTTATTTTGAGACAAGGTCTCACCAAATCACTAAATTTCCGGGGCTGGGCTCAAATTTGTGATCTTCCTGCCTCAGCCTCCCAGAGTGCTGGAGTAACAGGCCTGTGCCATCATGCCCAGCCAAGGCCTAGTACTGAAAAACTAGCAAATTATTCTTTATGCACAGGCAACATGATCAGAATGAAGAAGATTCAGTGGGATACTCAAAAAAGAGTATGGAAACTAAACAAGTATACCAAATAAAATTAAGTTGACAAATGTCAAATGCATAGCAGCACAACTCATAACAGCTAAGTCTTAAAGCAGCCTAGATGGCCGTCAGCAGGTGATGGACAAAGAGAAGGTGGCGTTTATACACAAGGGAGTTCTGCTCAGACATGAAGAAGGATGGACAAGGCATTTGTAGGAAAATGGATGCACCATGAGACCATAAAGTTCAGTGAAATAAATCAGACACAGAAGGGGACCGAGGGTTGGGGTGGAGGGAGAGGAGGGAAGGGCACACAGAGAGAATGAAGACATGCTGTGCACATGCACCAGCTCTCCGTGACGGATGCGATCGTTACGGAGTGCAAACGTGTACTGATAAAAACTGAAATATACAAAACAAATGGCAACTGAAATCCTGCTTAGCAGAAAGGAACAATTAAAAAATGCAGTCTACATGTAATGTCATGATGTGGTACTGAAAGGAACCGGAGTCACCCATGTAAACGCGCTGCTCCTGATAAGTAGCACCGCAGCTACATACAGACCTGGTTTAAAGCCGTGTACCCACAGGGTACCCAACACACACACGCATCTCCTCCTTGGATCCCGAGGGCCCAGAAGCAAGCAAACCCTGGGAACAACAAGCAGCCCCAGGGCTTGGTCCCTTAGTCTGCCACCAAGAACAATCAGTGGGGAGGACTTCCGGTCACTAGCCTGGCCTGGAAGAGCCTGAGGCTGCACCCCACTTCATCCCAACAGCACCACAGAGGCCAAACAGGCCGGGCTGTAGCTCAAAGGTGAGTGTTTACCTGGTCTCTGGGAGGTCCTGGGTTCCATCCCGAGCACAAGAAAAAAATCTCCTGAACTGAAATCAACAAATCTTACTAACGTCAGGAGACTCAGGGCCAGGGAAAATCGTGCTTCCAAAATTGCAGAAGCAGAAGCTCACGGGTAATCACAATACACTGAAGCAGAAACCGAGGCGCAGGGTGGACACGTCTAACAGGCGAGGCCTGCCAGGGGCCTGTCATAGGGGAGGCTGCCACGCGTGAGTTTTCACTCTAGGAATCCACCAGATTCTCAGGGCGAAGACTGGAGACAAGCGCTCTCACACCCGTGTCTGACATGCGGGTCATTAACACGGTCACGCCAGGGCCTTGACTGTGTCTCGCTGCCAGGTGGCTCTGGTTTGAACGTGTTGCGTTCTTGCCAGTTTGACCCCCAGGTGCATGGGACAGCCCCACCCTCCACCCAACGGGACAGTCACACAGGGAGCGCAACTGTCAGCAGCAGAAGGAACACAACACACTCTACAACTCCGAAGGAAGGCAGCTAGGAGTCAGTAACAGGAACACAGTGGGAAGTTTCCCCACGATGCAGGTGAAACAGCATCATTCTGAATCACACACGGGTCAAGAAGCAATCTTAAGAAGCTCAGAAGTATTTAGAAATAAAGAACGCAGAACACCAGCACCACGACTTGTGGAGTGCAGCTGTGTGACACTGAACAACGCACGGGGAAAAGACAGATCAAAAACAAGAAACTCAACTTCCACCTTAGGAGATTAGAAAACAAGGAGCAAATTAAATCCTAAATTAGCAGAGGAAAGGAAATAATGAAATCAGTGCAGCAACAGGAAAATGAAAACAGAGTATCAAAGATAAAGCAACCAAACAAAACTCTGGTTCTTTAAAAAAGTCAAAAAGTGATGTGCCCCTAGGTGGAACTGAAAGAGGTGACCGCTGCAGAGGCCAGGCATGCGAGAGGGTGGCAGAGGACGCTGAGCACAGCCCCAGGCCCACAGGAAGCACACAGCCGGGCGGCCGATCACACCTGGACGCACACAGCAGCGGGCGGGCGCGGCGGAGCGCAGCAGCCTCACCTGTGAGAGAAGCCGAAACGATGATTCACAGAGGCTCCAGCAAGAGCCCTGGGAGGAGTTCTCGGTGGATTCAACCAAACAACTAAGGAAGAAATGACCCCAAATCTTTACAAACTCTTCCCGGAAACAGAAGCGAAGGGAATTTTAACTCATTCTGAGAGGATCACCCCAACACCCCAAACTAAACAAAATATCAGAAGGAAAATGACAGAGCACGAACTCTGTCCTCCGGGCAGATGGAAAAACCCTCTACAAAATATCAGCGGTATGGAAAAGGACTTGTGGACCATGAGTGTGCGAGAGGTATTCGAGGTGTGTGAAGCTGGATCAACTTCTAAAAACCCATCAGTAACACGCACCACACCCACAGCTCGTGATGCTACCCCGCGGCACTGACCAAACCAGCACCCGCCCCTGATAAAACTCCACTAGCTGCAGCAGAGGGCGTGTCCCCACAGAAGCAGTCACGGCCGCCACTCTGCACACCCTGCGGAGAGTCACGCGTGGCCACAGTCCACGCGTGCACGGGGCAGGGCCGGGGACCCCACCCCAGCTGTCACGGCCCCCCTACACCAGGGAGGCTGAGCCCATTCCCCAGCGAGCCCACGAGGCCGTCCCACCCTCGGGCGCCTGCGGCCGAGGCTCCCCGGGGCTTCCAGAGCCTGACACCACCCTCGGGGCGCCCCCGAGCCTCCTCCGTCAGGACCCAGCCCGCCCGGGGCAGCCCCTCGCCTCATGCTCGGTCGAACCGGGTCGAGGCCGGCGCTAGATCCTCGCCCCGCCCCCGCACGTGGCCGCGCCTCGAGGCGCCAACAGCCCGATCCCCGCTCCCGTGGGGCCCCCAAACCGAGGGGGGAGGGGAGAGGGCGGGGCTAGCCGCGGACACCGAGTCCAGACCCCCCAGCCCGTCGGCCCCGCCCCTCGGCCGGGACAGCCCCACGGCCCGCGGATGCAAAACCCCAGCACGAGGCCCCGTGCGGAGCTGCCGCCCCAGGTCGGCCGAGGGCGGGGGACCCAGAGCCCTGCGCCCCTGCCCGCGCAGTCCCGCTCACTCCCGCCCGCGGAGCTGGGCCCGGGTCCGGGGCTGACATTCGGCGTCCTGATCCCCGCACCTCACCTCGTGTCGCCAGCCAGACCCAGGTCCCGGGGCGCCGCCTTCCCCAGCCTCTATGGGGGCCGCCCGGGGGCGGGGATCAGAGGGATGGGGCGGGGATTAGGGGCGGAGCTCTGGTGGAATGGGCGGGGTTTGCAGGGCGGGGATCCCAGGCCAGATGGAGGGGCGGAGGGGGGTCTCCCGGCCCCTCTTTGGCTCCTACTCTTCTGGTGCCACCCCTCTCCTCCAGCTCCTGGCTGCCCCTCGGCTGCGCTGTCACCCCTCACAGTGACGAGGGCCTGTCAGCCACAGGAGGTGGAGGCAGACGGCAAGCCCTCCCTCTGAGCCGACTGCATTGGCCGTCCTGGAGCCCCGTGCAGAGAACCGATGTTGCTGAGGTTAGGAAGGCCCTCCTTAGGCAGCAATAGCTCCCTGGTACTGTATATGTCACCCAGGCACAGGATGGCTGGGTTCCCATAGCATCTCTCCTTGGGGTGGCAATGAGAGAGCTAGAAACACAGACAAACGTCTGGAGGAGAAGGCACAGTTCGCCAAGGGAAAGACAAACCCAACGCCTCCCTAGCAATCCAGGAGTTTGAATCATTCATAAAATGCTCTTTCCACCCATCAAACCAGTGAAGATAAATAGGCACATATGGCCATGTTATGGGTTACCAAGAATGGAGGAAATAAACTCATATCTAGTTACTGAGGGTGCACATCAGAACAAGGCCCTGAAAGTTAATTTAGTGGCATCGAGCAAAACTGATCATGGCACATCCTTTTGCCCAGTAATTCTACTTCTTGGCGTCTTCCCTAGAGACTCCAGCCTCTGCCTGTGTTAGCCCACTTTCCATTACTATAAGGAAATACCTGAGGTAATGGACTTAGAAAGAGAAAAGATTTTATTTGGTTCAGGGGCCTGCAGTTTCAGTCCAAGACAGGGTGGCCCAGCAAGGCAGGCTGCGTAGGGCCATGCATGGTGGAACAGACCCTCGAATGAGCCAGAGAGCAGTGGGAGGGGACAGGCGGGGCCCCACATCTGTCTCAGACACACTCCCCACTGACCCAGGGGCCCCCGCTCTGGAAGCTCCACTTCCTTCCCACCCTGTGGACCAAGCCACCACAACGTGGGCTTTGGGGGGGACTTTCAACATCCAAGCCCTAGCAGCTCCTGGGGAGCCCTGTGCAGGGCTGTTCCCAGCCACATTTTATTATAGAAAGAATCCAAAACCACCTTTGTGCCAACGAGAGGGGTGCTGTGCAGGGGGAAGCGTCCACAGCCACAACAGGGAAAGGAAGAGGCTGAGGGTTTCTAGGATGATCTGAGCCCAGCAAAATCTTAAAGGAACCCACAAAATCATGTTTTCTTTACTGGGGTTTGTCATTAAGAATCAAAATTGCTTTGGAAACTTATTACAGCAGTTGCCTCTGAGAAAGGAAGGGAAGAGATAGAAGGAGGAGGTGAAGTGAAATCGAAGTCATCATGGTAGTCTTTTACCTCTCTTAGGAAAAAATGGAAAACATAAAAAACAGCAGATCTTGGAAGCCTATGAGAGCACGCTAACAACTGGCATAATGGGTGTAGGAAGTGGTGGGGATAGGGCAGGAGTCTATGAAATGGTGCCCCACACAGCACACACAGGGGCTGCCCGCTCAGAGGGAACTGAGGGGATCCTGGCTCCCCCTGGTGGTTGCCTTCAGCAGGCGACAGCGTCTCCTCGCCCTCCTGCTCCTCTGCTACCTGCGTGCCTTGACTTTCAACCTCCACCTCCCAAGCCACCAGTGGCTGCTGAGGGCCCATCTTGCTGCAGGACTCTGGTCCTGTCACCTCCCTCTTCTGTGTGCCATAGCCTGGCGGCAGCCCCAAACCACTCACATCATCCAGGACTCCTGCCCCACGGCCAGGGTTCGGCAGCTCCCTCCCCTTCTGCCCCAGAAGGAAACCCACTCCCATGCACACCTTTGATGCCCACCGTCCTGCCAGCCACCCCCACTTTCCACTTCCCACAGTGAGACCCTCGCTATGACAGTCACATCTCCCACATCGCCCAGCCCCACCGTGACTGTGTGAGGAGGAAGAGTCCTTAATGAGGCCACAAAGGTTAAGTGATGTCACAGGGGCGGGACCTGGTCCACAGGACTGTGTCCATCTGTCTGTCTGTCCTCCAGCAGCACAGAGGGACGAGCTTGTGAGGACACAGTCTTCAGGCCAAGGAAGGGCCCCCCAGGAAGCCCTCGATGGCCCCTGTCCCTCAGGACGGTGAGAAGTCTGTGGCAGCCTGAGCTGGTGGGCAGCACTCACCCCACAGAAGGCCACATTTGCAACACTCAGCTCACGTGGTGTTGAGCTTTTATGCAGTGTCAGCCAGAATCCCAGCGTCACCCTTGCAAGGAAGCTATGGGAAGACAACCTGCTATGGGCATCGTCCTTTGGGAAAATTAAAGTTACCAGGGTTAGAAATAGATTCTAGAATGGATTTTTTTTCTGTTTGAGGAGGAAACTTTCTAAAAATAAAAAACAATATAAGTAAAAGAGCACATGTAACAAGTGTGTGGTGTGTGTGATGTATTAATGTATATAACGGTGCATGTTTCTGAGCTGAAATGCTGACACTCATGGTGCAGAGCACCAAGATCCAGGGACAGGCGGGAGGGCCGCTCAGGACAGAAACAGAAAGGGCGGGAGGCTGACTTGGAGCCTAGGAAGCGAGACCCACGGGCCTCAGTATGAAGTCACCTTGGCAGGGGCCCTGGGGGCAGTCAGTGACAGGTGTGGCCCTACCGGGTCTTTGTCCATGGGCCACTAAACACTTGAATGATGCAGATGCCTCCTCTTGGTGATGGTGATTCCAGTTATTTGCTTAGAAAACCTTAGTGTTCCCGTCCTAATTACAGTGACTTCTGGGTTGACAGGCTCCAAATCAGTGACTTCTCCCTTGAGCCACAGCAGCCCTGGGGGGTGGCAAGGGGCTGTGTGTCACCCCGAGCATCCAACCCACGCACCCTGGGAGCCTGCAACGAGCTGGGCCTCACTGGCCACTGAGAGCCGCCCTAGGCCAGCAGCCCTGACCCATGCAGCGACCCTGCCTGGTACCCAGAATTCAAATCTCCCTAAGGCCAACCCAGCTGGGCAGGGGTAGGTGGGAGCACTAGGGGCTCCCAGTGCAGGCGGCAGGGCACCTGTCCCAGGGAACTCCTGTCCAGCTCACCTGTGTGGACAGAAGAAGCCCACACTTCACACAGGCTCTTTGGACCCTAAGCCGTGGAGCGGGTCCGGTGAGGTGACACCACCAGCCCTGTCACCAGCCCTCCTAAAGTTTATATGCATGTGGCCAGTAGGCAGAGCAAGCCACAGCCATGCAGCCCTGCCTCTGGGATGACCAGGGCACCCGCCTCAGTCTCCCCGTTGGTAAGGGCCACCTCTGGCTGTTGCTCATCCCTTGTGTCTGGGACTCTCCTGGGTGTCCTTCCTGTCCACGAGCAGTGTGTGGACAGACTACACAGACTGCTGTGGCCCTGCCGACCCCCCTGTACCCCAAACCCACACTCGGCCGACATCACCTGGCAGTGCTTTGGTGTCTGCTCCCTTTCGGGATGGCATCGTTGCCACGGTAACAGATGCAGAGCCAGGCACCTGGCTCCAAGCATGCGGCATCCCTCCCCTTGGGCCACTACAGCCATGTGCAGACCAGCAGGGCCACGCAGCCCTGGCTCTGAGCATCCCCACACGCCAGCCACAGGCTGCGCATGCAGCACTCAGACAAGCTCTTGCCTTCTTGGTCTTGACAGCGCCCCAAGGCCCAGGCTTCCGAGTGACACTGTCCAGGCCTGGGCATCAGAGACATGGATTCCAGCCCAGAGCAGCCTCCGAGCTCACCGCCCCCCTCCAGCCCAGGTTCTACTCCGAAAATAGAACCTGGCCCACTGCACCGGCACACTGTGAACCCGGACTGAGCACCCCTGTGGCGCTGAGCCTGAGGCCCCATCCCATGGACAGCCCTGCCCGTGACCCACCCCACCCCAGGCCTGACTGTTGCGCATCTCCACACTGCGGCTTTTCTGTCATGAAGCCTAGGGTCTCAGCCCCATCAGGGCAGCTGCTCCTCCTGGCCGGGTCCACCAGGCCGCACCAGCACTCGGGGAGCCACAGGACCATGGGGACAAAGCTTCAGAGACATTGGGCCATGCTTGGGGACAGAGCTGGGCCACACCCCGACTGTGGCACTCCAGTTGCTGGGAAGGGAGGAAGTGTGCTGGGGAGGGTGAGGTTGTAGCAAGTCTCTCATCCCTAAGGAGTGTGTGTGTGTGTGTGTGTGTGTGCACACAGGAGGCTGTGGCTGTGGCCATGTGTTCAGCTGGTCCGTGTTGGTGAAAGTGCATATTTGCACATTGGTGGACACGAATGAGTGTGTGTGAGAATCCCAGAAGCCAGCTGGCCCTGCTCTGCCTGCACCGAGGTCCTCTGGGAAGGGAAATCTGCCTAGCAGCAGAGGAGAAGGGTGACAGCCACGCAGGAGCCCTGAGGTCACGCGGCTGCAGCTGCACTGTGCAGGGACCCGGAGCACCGGGATCTGTGTGACCACCCCTGCAGCTCACATCAAGAGAGACCACGTCACTTCCCGTGGCTGCTACAAGGTTAGCGTTGGCTGTGTGGCCTTAACAGTGGCATTCTGGAGCTCAGAGCTCAGAGGTCAGAGGTCAGGACTGGTCTCTCCAGGCAATACCAGGTGTCAGGGTCCTCTGGCGTCTGGGGAGGAGCAGTCTCCTCCTCTGCAGCCTCTGGAGGTGCCTCTGCTCCGCCGCATGGGGACCTGCTCGGAGGACAGCCCTGCAGCCCCTCTGTTGTCCTTACATCACCCACCCTCTGTCCTCGGGAACTCTGGTGACACCCAGCCCTCGGCTCACCCACAGCATTCCCTCCATCGGGGTCCTTGAGGTTCTTCCACCTACACGGCGCCCTCTGCATACAGGCCCACACCTGCCCAGGCTCCTGGGTCTGGGCTGTGGACATCTAGGGCTGGGTCCTACCGACATGGACGGGCACAAGAGGGCAGGGAGGCGAAGGCAGAACAGAGTATAGGCAGTGTCACCAAGGGCCAGCGTGGGAGAGAGCTGGAAGGTCACCAGAGCCTGGAGCCCCAAGTCTGAGCAGGCTGCGTCCCTGTGGACCCATGGTGTCCATGGTCCACAAAGACAGAAACTGAGAGGCCACAGGTCAGGCCCTAGGTGACCACCAGGAGCACCTGCGGTGTCCACTATGCGAGGAATCAGGGCAGATCCCGGGGCAGGAAGACAAGAGGAGTCAGGAGAGTGCTCTCCCCATGTTTCCTCCTCCGGGCAGCCAAGTTGCCTTTGCAGCCCCCACCCCCATGTCCCTAGAATTGGTGAGAACTAGATTTAGGGGTAAGAATGTCCACTACGCCCCTCTGCATCAAAGCAAACTGTCATTTTCAGTGACTCAAAGCTGACTTGATAGGGCTCTGTTTAAATAACAGCTTGTCTGTGTAACTATGCTTCTGCCCAGCTTCCTGGGGCATGCATGTGTCTGTGTGTACATGCATGGGTGTGTGCATGTGTGTGCCATGATCCATGCCTGGCTAGAACTATCACCTGCAGCTGAAATCTATGTTAATTCAAAACAGCAGCATAAAAAGTCAGGCCATGCGGAAGCACCACAGACCGTGCCAACACCAGCTGCCCCGACTTCAGCCTTGGCAAGAGGACCATCTCGGGGAAGAGTGGGGAGAAACTCTTGGAGTGGTCAGCTGTCAGAGTCCAGCAGAGTTCTGGAGGGAGAGTGGGAAGTTTGGAGAGCTGATATTATTTTACTGACCCAAAAGTGGTATGAAACCTAATTGATGTCTCCATGATGCTGATCTGATTTTCTTGGCTGTACAGCTGCTGACCTCTGTTTGATGCTGTTTTGTACCCACCAGCAGCTCTTAAAAGAGACGGGTGTGCGGTACACCAAGAGCAGCCAAGAGCAGAGCCCGTAACAACCCAAGCAGAAGGTGTCACTGGATATGGGAGGGTGGGCTCAGCCCCCTGCACTGCCCTGCCCCGCAGGAGGGGCACACCAGGGGGTGCTCAGAGACCTAGGGTGGGGTGGGCAGGGAGGGGGAGGGGGAGGGGGAGGGAGCCCCCCCAGAAAGCCAAGCTTCTGGGCAACAGGGTCGGGGCTCGGATGAGCAGGACAGGGTCCAGGGTCTGGGGCTCTTCCTCAGAGGGCCGGAACCCACAAGGCCCTGTGAGCCTGGGCTCCTCCCCACCTCTGCCTGGTGGGGGCTGCACTGTGGCCCAGTAGACCCCCAGCGAGGGGCAGGCTGGCCCTGGGCTGGAGGGGTACAAATCGGGGCAGGGAGAGAAGGACCAGCCCACCCCTGTGCCCCAAGGACCCTGACCTTTACCGTGTGGCCACAGCCCAACCCCTTCCCAGCACCAGGGCCTGGCACCAGCGGCTTCTCCCACCACAGCGCCCAGGGACAGGGGCAGGGGGGCTGCAGGGACCCAAATCACCACATCTGCCCCCCGCACCACCCGGCATTCGTCACAGCGGAGGAGCAGCATGAAACTGAGTCCCCTTGAAGGACGCTTTCCAGTGCAGCGGCCGGGGCTGGAGCTGCCCCTGTGCACTGCGATGCACGCCCTTAACACACACGTCCTTCACGGCACGCACTCTTAGCCTTGTCTCCTCTGGACAGAAAACCGACAGGCCAGGCTCGCTGCTGCCCTGGACGCTGGGACTGGGCACCTCATGCTGGCCACACCTGCCAGTCGCTGGGTTTCAGTTCTCCCGGGGACAGGGGCCTGGCAGGGGATGGGGGAGGTGTCCTCTGAGGCGCTGAGTCACTGCCTTGGACGGTACATCAAGCCAGGGGGCAGACTCTGAACCCCCAGCTCCCAGGCAGGCCCCATGCACTCTGCCCTGCTGGGACAAAGCCCTGGCAGCCACCAGCACCAGGCCCGGGACACAGGCGTGGGCGTCCACTGCATCTGTGGGTCGTCTCCCTTTCATGTGCCATGATTAATCACTGTTTTGTTCTCGGGGCCCTTCCAGTCACTCATCACACGTGAGGAAGCACGTCTCCAGACCAGCACTGCGGTGGCCAGCAGATCCCCAGCCCAGGCCAGCCCTTGTAACTGTCCCCCCTTCCACCCGGGGCACAATGCTTTCCAGACACAGACACCCCAATCAACTTCAAGCTTCTGTTCGACCAGGCATCTCCGCTTTACACTTAAGTCCATACACAACTTACACGTATTTGCTACCCCTCAAAAAGAGATGTGAAGCAGTTTAAATACAAACACTCAAACAAAAAGATGGTGAAAAGTAAAGTTAGTCATATAGGTGGTGGTAACATCTACCCTGAACATGAAGTAATAGATGTAAGAAAACTGAGCAGTAAATGCGCTCTGAGATCACTGGCAGCAAAGGTGAAGAGAGGAAGCTCCTGTTGCCAAGGAAAAGCAGCATCGGGTGGGTTAGCCGAAGAGGTCCTGCTGCGGTCCCCTCGCCCTGAGAAGGGCCGTTTGGAAGTGCATGGCATGGCAGTGACCAGGTCCAGACCTTCCTTCCACCGCGTAGGCTCGCCACAGCGTGGGATGCAGGACAGGGCTGTGCTTGTCTGCACCTTCCTCAGGCTTCCTCCATGTTTCCCCCTCCGTGGACTGAAACTTCCCTGCAAAGTTCACTCAAACATTCCAGGAGCCAAGTTCAGTGCATGCTCCACCCTCCCCTCTCCCTGGGGAAGCTGGGCCCCAGGATTTTGCTCTGGAAATGGGACGCACACCTGCACCAAGGGTGCTCAGGGTTAAACAAAGTCAAGCCAGCTCCTTGAGTATCTGTGGCCCACAGGTGCATAGCCCCTGGGAGGGGAGGGGCACAGAAGTTGCCACGGGTGGCCTGAGCTCCTTTCCCGGGCAGGACACATCCTGACCACATGGTCCTGAGAGTCCCCATTTCTCCAAGCCTCGGTTTCCTCCCCCACCGAGTGACCAGCCGGTACATGGAGGAGCTGCTGACACACCCGTCTGCCTGGGGACACCACAGGTACACGTTAGTCTCCGCCTGCCAGGAAGTGCACGGCAGGGGCGGACAGTGGCCTGCTGGTCTCAGGCTCTAGTGTACAGGGCTGCCGAGGTCCTTGGGACTGGGGGCGCTGGGCAGGGACTTCAGGTACTCCAGGTGCCTCCGGGCATCCTCCTGGTTGTGCCGCACGTAGTAAACGATGTAGGTGACGACCATGGTGAACCAGCCGAACATGGTGACCAGCATGGCCACATCCGTGGTCTTGTGGTGGGCGCTGCAGAGGCTGACGCCAGAGTCCAGCACCTGGATGAGCGGCTGGCCCACGAACTCCTCCTGCACGGAGGTGTGACAGGCCAACTCGTCCACCGAGTCGGGGTCCAGCTTCAGCTCCCAGAGCGCCTCCTGCAGGGCACACTCGCAGTGCAGCGGGTTGTGGGACAGGCGGATCTTGGCACTCAGCTTGCCCAGGGCGTCCTTGGGGATCCTGCGGATGCGGTTGTGGGACAGGTCCAGCAGCCGCAGGCCCCCGGCCAGGCCGGAAAAGGCAGCGGGGCCGATGGTCTCCACGGCGTTGTGGGACAGGTCCAGCTCGCGCAGGTGCTGCAGGTGCTGGAAGGCGCCGTCCGGGATGCGGGAGATCCTGTTGGCGTCCAGCTTCAGGAGCTCCGCGTCGGCGGGAATGTCCGCAGGGACCTCCTGCAGGTCACTGTGGCTGCAGTGCACGGCCACAGCCCCTGCCTGGTCAGAGCACTCGCAGGCCTGCGGACAGGGGGCGCCCAGGCGCAGGCAGAGCAGGAGGAAGAGGCAGGCGCCCCGGGCGGGGGCCGGCGGGGACCCGGGGCTCTGCCTGCGCCCGGAGCCCATCCTGCCCGGCCGGGAGGACGCCTCCACTGGGCTGGGCCGGCCACCGCGCAGGGCTCCCCAAGCGGCCGGTGGGGGAGCGGTGGGCTCCGCGCAGCTGCGGCGCTCGGAGGTGGCACCAGGGCGAAGGTGGCGCCCAGCCCGGCCCCTGGACGCCCACAGCCACCCCAAGAGCGCGCGCTGGCAGCAGCGGAGGCGCGGGATGTCGGGCGCTGGCCGCGGCAGGAAGGCTGGTCACACCCTGCGGCACCCGCCCCCGGCCCCGCGTGGCTCCCGGGAGGGTGTGACCCCGGCGGCCACACCTTAGACCTCGAATCCGCAGTCGGACGGAGCCGGAGCCGCCACTGCGGTGGGACTGGAGGAGAGGGGCGGAAGGGGGCGGGCGGTACCTGCGCGCTGCAGGCTCCGGAGCCGGGGGCGACACGACACGCGCGGGAGACCCGGCCGCGTCCACACCCGCCCGCGCGGGGAGGGGAGGGCATGGGCTGTGGGGAGGGCTGGAGGCGGAGCCTGCAGGACGGGGCGGGGCCCGGAGAAGGGGCGGGGTCTGCGGGGGTAACAAGGGGCGGGGACTGCCGGCAGGGGGCGAAGTCCGCCCGGAGGAGAGCAGAACGGAGACAGGGCGGGGCGAGGGGACAGGGTCAAAAGCAGTAGGACCCACAGAGGGCGGGGCCGCCGCCAACGGGGCGGGGCTGACAGAGGCCATGGCCTTGAGAGGGCGGGGACTGGGGGAACGGTTGCTCGAGACTGGAGCTTAGCGGGAAGGTGGGGCGGAGCCACTGGGGGCGGGGCGGGAGGGGCGGGGCTTTCCCGCCTTTGCCTGGCGGACACCGGAGCGTGGAGAGCCCCTGTAGCCGGGTCGTGGGCGGGCTCTGCCGGCTGGGGGTGTCTGTTGGCTCCCCCCACCCCGCTTGTGGGGGCCCGGGCCTGCAGATCTGTTAGGCCCGGGTGTCTGGGGTCCTCGGGCCGGGGCTCCTGCTCCTGCACCCGCTCTGCAGCGTCTGCGGAGGGCGAGAAGGCAAGGCGGCGTGGGGCTGGACCTCGACCTCCCCGGGGTTCTGTAAGCCGCACACCTAATGTTTCCTGCAGACATCTGCAAGCCTGCGCGAAGCCGGCACCGCAGCCAAGAGGGAGACACCCCGAGTCCCCCCACTGGCGCCGCCTGCTTTCCCTCGCCTCTTCCCCTCCAGGGCCGGCTCGAGGCTGCGGGCCCTGCCCTCAGCGCGAGCGACCTCTGCTCCCGTCCACACTGGCTGCTCTTGTCTGCGACCGACCGTCAGGAGAACTGATGTGCCCGGACGCGTCCCTGAACCACGTGAAAACCTGGGGGGCCGTGACCCCTGACCCTGACTCTGAGGCACTGCCTCAGGGACCCCAAGAGCCATCCTCGCAGACCCTGGGTGTGGGTGGTCTCTTCCACTCCGGACATTCTACTAGGTGTAATGGGTACTGAACTGTGATTTTGACTCGGTTGCCTGGGTTGCCCTGGTGACTAATGATATTTAGTTTGTTTGTTTTGAGACAGGGTCTTGCTATGTGGTCCAGGCTGGCCTTAAACTCACTATGTAACCCAGGCTGCTCTTGAATTCACAGCAATCTTCCTGCCTCAGCCTCCTGAGTGTTGGGATGAACCCATGCACCACCACACTTGGTTCATCTGTTTATTTGCCAGCCATCTGAGGTAATTTCTTTAGGAAAGCGTCCTGTTCAAACCACGTTTAATGGTGCTGGGATTTGTTTGTTCGTTTGTTCGTTTGTTTCTCTTATTAAGAGAATTCTTTGTCCCTGTGGATACAAATCCTTTATTAGATATGTGATTTGTGTATATTTTCTCTGAGTTTGTGGGTTGTCTTTCATTGTCTTGTTTTCCAAAGATTAGAAGTTTTAATTTTGAGAAAGTTCAGTTTAGCATCTTAAATTTTTTTATGAATCATACTTTTAAGAAATCTTCGCCTAACCCCAAATCATAGAAACATTATAGGAATTTGCATGTTCCATTCTGAACTAATTTGGGTGCATGTGTGAAATGTAATTCAAGGTTATTTTCTGTGTATGGACAATCAGTTTTTGTGACTGTTGGAAAAACCATCCTTTCTCTAGATTTTTGAAGTTTTTTTTTTTAAGCCAGAAATGGATGTTGGATTTTGTTTTTTCTGCATCACCTGAGACTCTTTCGCAGTCTGATGGCATGGTGAATACCACTGACTCTAAGTGTTAACACAGCCTGTCTTCTCAGAGTAAATGCCAGTTGGTCGTGAGGCAATATTTTGGGATATGGTTAAGTCATACACAGCTGCTGAGGCTGCTGTTTTCTTGACAGAATGTTTGTAGTCTGTGTCACCCAGGCATTGTCAATTTCATCTAAGTTGTTGAATTTATCAGCATAAAGTTCCCCTTAATATGCCCTTATTGCCCTTTCAATACCTATAAAATATTAAAATATGAGTGATGTCGCCTCTCTCATTCCTGACTGGTAATTCTTGGCTCTTTTTAAATTGATAAATCAGGATAGAAGTTTATCAAGTTTATTGATCTTGCCAAAGAACTAATTTGGAGCTTCATTGATTTCTCTACTGTTTCACTTTATGTTTGTTTTCATTGACTTCTCTGATCTTTATTCTTTCTTTTGCTTATTTCCATCAGTTTAACTTTGTCTTCTTTTTCTGGCTTCTCCAACTGGAAGCCAAGATCACTGACCTACATCAGTGCTATGAGCTTCCCTCAAAGTCCTACTTTAACTGCATCCCAGGAATTTTGATGCCTTGTATTTTTGTTATCACTAACTTTGAAATACTCTATAATTTCCCTTTGGATTCCTTTTTTGACTTAGGAATTTGGAAATGTAGTTTTAAATTTCCAGACACTTGGGAATTTTCCAGAGATCTGTTTGACACTGATTACTAGTTTATTTTTTTCAGAGGACACATTCTACATTTTGGATCCTTTTAATTTTGTCGAGACTAATTTATGGTCCAGATTATAGTTTCGAACTGCTGTGTGTGCCCTTGAATATGTGTTCTGTCGCTCAGTGGAGTGTTCTATGGATGTCCTGAGGTCAAGGCTGCTGATCATATTTTTACTATTATCAACTTCCTGTCTACTTGACCTATTCACTACTGAGGAGGTGACTATGATCAAAGATTTTTCTGATTTCTCCAGAAGTCCTGGGCTGGAGGTATAGCTCCAGAGTACAATGCTTGTCTACTTTGTACAAGACCAAGGGTTCCATGCCTAGCACCAGAAAAAGAAACAGCATAAAAAACGTGGTACTTCTCTTGGAGTCCTATTAGTTTTTGCTTTGCACCTTTTAAAATTGTATATTTGGGTTACTAGGTGTTGCTGATGCATTGAACCTGCTATCAATGTGAAGCATCCCTTTTTACCCTAGATTCTTTGGCCTGACATCCACTTTGTCCAATGTTAATACACCTCCTCTTGAGGAGGGTAGTGTAGGACATCACCTAACAACTCTTCACTCCCAGTCCAGTATGGCTTTATTACTTAATGCCTTAGTTACTTTTCTAGTCACTGGGACCAAATATCTAATGCAAATAACATAAAGGAAGAGAGGATTATTACTCAGTTTGTAGCAGTTGCAGTCCATAGTTGACTGGCAGGGTGGCATGGCAGAGGGGCATCACAGAGGAGAAACAGTCCATGGCAGGGTAGGCCGAAAGCAGAGTCAAGGGAGGAGGGATATCTATATACACCCTTCCAGGCCATAGCCCCGTGACCCAAGTCTTTGCCCCAGGCTCCACCTCCCAACATCACATTCAGCTATAAACTCATCAATGAACTAATCCACTGATGAGTATCACACCCCATGATCCAGTCACCTCCCCAAATCTCCACCTCGGAACACACAAAGCTTTGGGGAGACATTTAAAGATGAACCATAACACTTAGTTTCCTTCAGGATTTCCGTAGTATCACAGTACCTCCCTCAATATATCTATTAACTCCAAAGAAAAAGATAGTAACTCTGCAGTGGAGAAAAGGCTTGTTCATGTGACAGGGTCAGGGTTAACAGTGATAGGGCAGATGGACAGGACATCCTTGCTGTGGGCACAGGGAAGGCCTGCCTGGCCCCTGCAACCACTGCCCATGGGTCCCCTCATCACAGCTGACAAAGGCACCACGTGCAGCCACATCGAAGGACAGAGGACAGAGTGACAGGCTGTATGTTCAGAATTGAGAAAACTACTGGAGAAGGCAAAGTCTGAGTCACCGCTACAGACTGGAAGAGACTGAAGAAGTGACAGCTCAGAGAGAAGTGGAACCCTGGGACAGAAGATATTAGCAGGAAATCCGGTGAGGTGGAGTCCAGTGTTTTGCCAGTGGTGGTCCCTGGCTGTGTCACTGACACGGGAGGGGCTGTCTGGTGGGACTGGGCCATCTTCTTGCTGTCTTTCCCGTCTGGCCTTGGCTCCCTGTACTGTGGTCCTGCCTTTGCTGGGTGTCTGCTGTGGTATGACATGAATGCCCCTGTGTTGAAGGCTTGGTCCCTGGCCTGCCACACTGTGGGGAGGGTGGAGCCTTCAGGAGGCGGGGCCTGGAGGGAGGAAGCTAGGAACTGGAGCCCCATCTGCCTCTGCCTCTCCCACACATGCTCCCTGCCATCACCGTCTGCACCGTGGAGTGATGCAGTCAAGGGGCTGCCTCTCTGTGCCCCTGCTGCTGTTAGCTCTGAGTTGAAAGAACCTTTTCTCTTTATAAGGTCAGTCGCCTCTGGTATTTCACTTTGAGACACAAGGCTGACGGACACTGCTTTCCCGATCCCATTTTCCTCCCTCTGCTGCGTTGTTTCTGTGGCTGCTCTGGGGCTTCGTGCACAGCTCTCCACCAGGTGTGACCAGACCACTGCAGCATGGGATTGGTGTCAGCATGTTCCCTCTGGCCCCCTTGGCTCTGTGTGGATGGCCTCCTTGCCAGGGATGACATCTGAGGACCCCCAAGGGCCCCTCTGTGCACGCAGACCTCTGCCTGTGCTTCCGAACCCCAGGACCCATCTAACCCCAGCCGGGCACTGTGGCAGCCCGTGGGCTCTGGTTGGCAACTGCGCCTGCTGATCTGCCTGGCACCCGGCACCTGGTCTGGGAATGGCATGCAGCTGCTGGGTAATCGCTCTCACAGGATACTCTGGCCAGGCAGGTCTGCATGCGTTTCTCTGGGGACCAGAACAGAGGATGAAGTCAGACAAGTAAGCAAACACCTGGCGCAGCCGGTGCTGTCCTCCCCACACCTGGGAAGGCCACAGAGCTAACATGGACAGGCCCTTCCCAGCCTCAGGTAGTCTGAGTCTTCGCTGCTGCGCCATCCCTCTCCTTACGGGAGCCGCCCCACACCTGCCCAGGATCAGGACGCTCAGGCTGGCAGTCATTTCTCTGGCACCTGGCACAGAACAGGCAGGCAGGGAGCCCAGGGGGCCACCAAGCCAGGGCCTCAGCAATGGATGCATGGACTCTGAGCAGATCTGGCCTCCTTGGCTTTGGCCTAAGGGAGCCTCCCTTCGCTCCTGGAATTCCTGGCTCTCCCAAATCTTGGGCTCTGCCCAACCTTGGAAGCCTGCACTGGAAAGCAGAAGGCCCAGCAACAGTCCCTCCTGGGCTCCTGTAGCATGAGCGCTCCCCTGGGCCAGCACACCCCTCCCTAACGTCCCTTGTCACACTCCCAAGGGACTCCTTTCCCAACACAGTAAAGGCTCTGGGACGCAGATGAAGAGGCAGTGGCTGGAGCTGTGGTCCAGGGGAAGACAGGTGTGGCTGGGCAGGGCTGGGTGACCAGCCTGTCCCTGGGCTCTGGTGAGTGGTGAAGGAGGCCCAGAGTCCCCAGGAAGCGTCACTGCCAACAGGGGCGTGGGCACCATCGTCCTGTGGGGAGGTGGGTGTCGGTCCCCGCGAGGCATGAGTGATACTGGGACACTGGAGCGGATCTAGGGAAATGGAGACAGGGCTGGGGGTCCCAGGAGGAAGCCAAGTTTGGGCCTAAGAGGCATCAACAGGGGTGCTGCATGGCTCAGAGGCCTGCCGCCCCGTGAGCCCACTCATGTCGTCTGGGGCCGCTGCCACCAGCAGAGGAGCCAGGAAGCACAGGAAGTCGCCCGCAGCTGAGAGGCAGAACTTTATCAAGGACAGCACTGGAGGGCCACCCAGGCTGGCCTGAGGCTGACGAGATCTAACAGCTTGGCTTTACATCACTCCCGTCCTGACGGCTCTGTGAGTCACCAAGTCCAGACCAGGGGGCCCTGCTGTCCCCTGCCCAGCTGCCTGGCCTCCCTGCAGAGCCCGTCTCTCTCTCTCTCTCTCTCTCTCTCTCTCTCTCTCTCTCTCTCTGTGCTTCTGCAGCCTGACAACTGGGCAGTGAGCCAGGCCTCTCGAGGTGTCCAGGCCAGGCCAGGCCAGGGTCCACGTCAGGTCCCAGCACCCCAGGGGCAAGTCAGCAGGGCCGCCCAAGTCTTTGCAGGCTCAGGCAGGGGGGGCCTCCCAGGGCCCCAGCTCCCCAGGAGGCTCTAGGGTGATCGCCCTGCTCAAGACCTCAGGACTGAGGAGGGGAGCACTGCAGCTGAGGGCGAGGCTGTACAGGCGCCCAGCTCCTCCCGATGGCAGCACCCCAGCCCTCACAGGCAGCCTCACAGGGTGCCAAGTCCCTGAGCCACAGCACAACAGGTCCAGGGTGGCACACGCCTCGAGCAGCAGGTGTCACCCTGGCCCAAGAGCAGCCAGGTCCCCAGGGCCCCGGCAGAGCGCATAGTCAGTAGTGGGCTCCAAACAGAACAGCCGTCTTCTGCAGGATGGTCTTGTGGTTCACGTACAGCGGGATGCGCTTGTCCACCACCTGCCACCGGATGGACACACCTGGGTCGCAGGCGTGCAGGTGCTGCAAGGACAGAGGCGGCCATCACTCCCGCCCCGAGCGCTCAGGACCTCAGACCGCAGGGGCATGGTGACCCTGTATCTGCCTCCAGCCTGAGTGCTGCCAGCTCACTCTGCAAAGGGGGACAGGGACCCCTGCTGGGGTGCCCCTGAGACCCCCCACAGGGAGGCCAGAGGTTCCCCAGTGAGAAAACTGCCCGCCAGGGTCCGGTTCGGGAGATGTGGGGCCAATCGACATGCAGGGGACAGCCATCCCCATAAATGGAGTGCTCCCAGGAGTCAGGAGCCCTTGCCAGCCACCCCGGCCTGATCCTCAGCCCCTGCCATGGGGGTCCCCATCTTGGTACCACACAGGGCCTTCGCTCCACCCCTCTGCTGTACTCTGGCCTCTCCCTGCTTCCCTTGGGAATGTCCAGAAGACTCTTAGCCCCACGGCCCCATCTCTGGTCCTGGGCAGCCCCCTCTCCAGAAGCCCCCGAGGCCCATCCAGACCCCTGAGCCCCTGGGATCCCCGCCCGGATGTCCAGCCTCATACAGAGTTCAGCCTCTTCAGCTCCATGTCGTTCTGGTCTGGGAAGTGGATGCTGATGGCCACCGTCTCGACCCAGGCATTGTCTGTGTTCCGAGGGTCATCCACGTACCCCTTGTACACCTGGAGGCACAGCAGGGCTGACCAGGTCGGCAGTGGCCCGGGCCCCCACTCACCACCAATGGGCTGGGCCCAGGAGAGCAGCCCCCGGGCCTGGCCGCAAGATGATGGCCTGTCCTGCCGGGCCTCCGAGGCCTGGGAAACACCCCTGTGGGGCCCACACCCAACACCATCCACACGAGGGCCCCCGCTGCCTGCCGAAGCAGCTGGGTTTCCTCTGGAGTAAGGGGGGCCGCGCAATAGGACAAGTGCGGGACACCAGGATTTTGATCACTTCGGCCCAGTCTCGGCCTGGGGTGCTGCTCAGGGCCCGCACTGGTCAGCACCCAGGAGAGGCTCTGGCCTCCATCCCAGCCCCCTACCCCCCCACCCCCCCACACAGTCAGCTTCATGTCATGTGACTCTCGCTTCAGTAAAAATGAAATGCCTTTAAGTAGTGAACAAAGAGAGATGGTGGCTGAACGCCCACGGCCTGCACAGGGGAAGCCACACTGCTGGGTGGGCAAGTCAAAGCCCTCAGTAACCTGGGACAGCACTGTCCACACTGGACAACAGAGGCGCCACCAGAGGACTGGCCAGGTGAGCAGGGGCACCCAGAGCCGGACACAGCAGGAGGTGAGGCTGGAAGCCAAACCATGAGCTAACGAGAGGAGGGCAGCTGCGGGAGATGTGCACCGCAGGCACGTGATTACACAATCACGCGGGACGCCCAGCCTGGCAAAAAAGGATCCGGGCTTCTAAAGAAGGGATTCGGAGACCTGGCTGGGACCCGGGTCGGCACGGCTGTCACCAGCAGAACTGGAAGGTCGTCTGCATCCCGGGCGGCTCCTGCGGCCCTCAGGACCTGGAGCTGACTCGGAGCCCCGCCCATCCCTTGCCCCGCCTCCCTGTGCCCCGCCCACCTCGGAGCCCCGCCCACCTCGGAGCCCCGCTGCAGTAGGCCCTCCACCTCTGGCCAGGCCTCTCGCAGCAGGATCTGTTTCAGCTTCCTTGGCAGCGTCTCCCCTGGCTCCCTGGACCCCTGAGCAGAAGGGCAAAGGCCAGTCAGCAAGGTGCCCACAGCTCCCAGGCCGCCTGGGCCATCTCTATTGGCCACCAGCCCAGAGTGGGCAGCTGCCCCGGCCCTGGTCACTCGGGGCGGGCGTGACACTGCCCATTGCCCTGTCCCAGTCAGCACCCGACCAGGGGAGCAAGGACAGCCCTATGCCCCCTGCACGCTTCTCTGGACGCAGGCCTATCTCTCGCCTGGGGGCCCCCTGGGGCATCTCTCTGGCCCTGGCGTCCACACTCAGGCCTGCAAGCCTGGGTGGCAGACCGCGGCGACACCCCGCAGAGGCAGCTGCTGGGCCTCGGGGCGGGGCTGGGCTGGAGGACAAGGGCTTCTTTCGGAGTAGGGTAGAAGACAGACTCCTTGGGAACCAGGCACAGGAAAGGACGTCAGGTGCCATGGCCAGGCCTGGTGGGTCCCAGGTCTCAGGCAGGACTCACATTTCTGACCCTGCAGTGTGGTGGGGGCAGGAAAGGCCTGGGCATCTGCCCCCAAGTCTGTCCTCATGAGGTCTCTGGGTGCCACCAGCTCTGGACCCTGCAGCCAGCCACCACCTTGAGGCGGGCCACGCCCACCCCTGCCCTGGACAGTGGCATCCGGTCTTCAGAGCTCGCCCCATGTGTGGACGGGAAGGGCAGGTGCCCGGCAGAGATCCTGGGAGAAGCCACCACCCCCACGCTGAGCTCCTCAGAGGCCTTCAGCCCCCAGGGAGCCCCGCCTGGGATGCAGTGAGTGCTCAGTTAGTGCCTGTGCACCCCAGAGAATCTGAACCTCGCTTTCCCAGCTGCAGATAAGGAAGGAGGAGGGGAACTGAAAAGCACAGTGCCAGCTTCAACTGCAGCCCGGCCCCGGGGAGGTGACTGTGGGGACAGCAGGCTGAGGGAGGGACAGAATGACGCGTGAGGAGGACCCTGCCTCGGTCCCCTTACCCCTGGGAGGGCCCAGAGCCCCGAGAGGGGCTGCTTCACCACCAGCACCTCCAGCATCTTCTTTATGCTTTTCCTGCAGATGACGCCGTCCTGATTCCTCCTCCACCTGCGAAGGGAGCCACTCACACCTGCGCAGGTGCACTGGTCACCAGCCGCCCTTCCCCGAGCAGCAGCCTGTGCCAGACCTGCCTGAGGCTAGGGGTGGCTTGGGCCGCCTGCCAGCCCACCAGCCCTCCCCCTTCTGTCCTGAGGGCCTCATCCCAGGAAACTATCAGCAACGGTTGCCATGGGCACCATGATCTTCCCCACCTCAGTAAACCACTGGTAGGGAAGAAAGGGCCCGGGCATTTTGGAGATCTTCAATCAGAAGCCTTAAAACTTGTGTGTCTGATTTATTTCTTAACACCATGGTCTCAAGGCGCATCCCTTTTCCTACAAATGACTCAAGTTTATCCTTCTCCACGGCAGAGTAGTGCTCCCGTGTATAAATACCACGATTTCTTTACCCATTCAACAAAATGAAAGACAGGTGATAGGAAACAGTGTCATAGCCCTTTTGCAAATGGGAAGGGGACCTAGTGACAGAGGGAGGGGGAAGGAGGGGACGAGAAGGCAAATAAAAAGAATTGAAATGTGTCAGGTACAAGTCTTACTCCCTAAGCGGAATGCAGACATTATGTATGGCAGACATTACTAATATAAAATAAGAAGCCTCAGAAAAGCACACAATGGACCCAGCTTTCCAGCCCCCGGTCTCCAGAGATGCTGGCGTGAGCCCCACTGGGCTCTGAGCTGAATGCAGCTGGGCTGGGCCCTGTGTTTCCGCTGGGACAAAGCCAGGCTACACCTGGTCCTGAAGGCGGGCAGAGCCGGGTTCCGAGCACCAAGTAGCTGTAAGAGCTACACAGGGCGGGCCCAAGGGGGCGCGAGCATCCCTGTGGACATGTGCACGTGTCTGCGAGTGTGCAGTGGGAGTGCAGTGGGTGTGTGCATGGGCTGTGGATCTGTGTGTGTGTGTGTGTGTGTGTGCAGTGTCTCCTGGCAGGGCAGGTCCCTGACACAAACGTCACAGACCTTGGGATTACATTTTCATTTTCTTACTATTTCTCCTTGGAAGCAAGCCCGCCTCCCAGTGGGACTCTCGGGGTCCCCAGGAAACAGGACCAGGCTCCAGGGGAACAGGCCCATCCCTGCCGGGTTTCAGGGTGTCCACAGTGAACCACAGATACCCCTCGCTTGCCCCCGACAGGTACCAGGCAGCCAATAGCATGCCTGTCCTCTGGCTCTCAGAGCACATAGAGGTGCCTGGAAGCACCTTGGTGGACACGTGGGAGGCTGTGTCCCCAGGGTACTCACCGGGTGACCACGGGGTGCAGCATGTGGTTGGGGCCAAAGCAACTAAGGCTCCCGCGTCCGAGCAGGCCTGTGCGGCCCATGGGGTTCCTGGGGCAGAGAGGGCTCAGCTCAGCTGCCCCCCGGTGCCGGGGGACTCTGGGCTCCCACCCAGGCCTGGGCCACCCAGGGGGTGGGCTCATCTCTCAGGGAGGCTGAGGCCAGGGCTCCAGGTGAGTGGGGCACGCGGCAAGGCAAGGTCTCTCTGGGAGCAGAGTCCGGGCTCGCTGTGCTACCCCCACCCCCACGGAGCGGGGCCCTCAATGGCTCGAGGGCGCACATGGGGCACGGGCTGTGCTCGGCGCTCAGTCCTCAGTGGCCTGGCCCTCGGCCCCCCGCCCCCTGCAGGCCTACCTCTCAGACACCCCAGGCACCACCTTGTGCTCTTTCTCCCTGCCCCAGCCCGCTGGCCCCTCTGGGCCTGGCACAGCAGCCATCCATAGGTCACCCCACGAGGTGGCGCCAGCCCGACTGTCCCCCAATTTCAGGTCTGCTCCCACTCTCCCTTCCGCTGAGGGCCTCCTGCCTTGCCTGTGCCTTCTCTGTCTGCAGCACAGCGGTCTCCCCTGCCTCCCAGCCACTGTCCTTGCCTTCCACATGCTTCCCTCTGGGCCAGGGGCAGGGGCTTTGGAGAGACCCACTCTGCCTCCCAGCGGCCAGGCGTGGTGGAGCCTTGGTGGTGGGGCCCAGTGAAGGTCTTGAAGTCACTGGGATCCCGGGAGGAGGCCCAGCCTTTGGTCTTAGCACACACACCCTGCCATGACCACCGCCCCCCGGGGCCAAAGCAGCAGGACTGAACACCATGGACTGAACCCCTTCCAACTGGGAGCCAGAATCGCCCTTCCCTCTTTTGAGCCCATTGCACCGGTATCGGTTATAGCGGCAGGAAGCTAGCTCATACAATCTCCCTCCTCACGCCTTAACCTCCAGCTGCACTGAAGCCTCAAGTGAAAAAACTAATTCCAAAATGTATTCCAAGAACACAGAAGAGTATATCTTAACAGACAGACTGATGGTGGTCTGAATATAGTTTACCCTCTCCCAGACTCATGTTAAAATCTAATCACATTCTGAGATATTCAGAGTCGGGGCCAGACCTCTAAGAGCAACAGTGCACAGTCTGACTGACTGGTGGGTGAGCGTGGGGCGTGCTGTCAGCCAGCCCGGCCAGGTCCCCCCGCCCTTTCCTGCCATGTGACGCCACCAGCAGGACGGTGTCGGCAGACGCAGGCTCTCGACCTTGGGTCAGAAACACGAGCCAAGATAAACCTCCTTTCTTTATAACTGGCTCTGCCTGTGGCATTGTGTTATTAGCCACATGTCTACCAAAGACAACGACTTCACAGGAAATAGACGTAGGGCAGTGGAATGAAAGCACGACTTGCAAGTGAACGACATCAATGTGTTACAGTGCACGGATTCTCGTCCCCTCTGCTGTGGCCCGCACTGAGCCCTGCCCAGCCTGCTCGCTGCCCTGACCAATTCCACAGGGCCATCTGTGCCCATTCCACTTGCAGGATGTCCCTGCTCCCTCCTGGCGCCACTTCCTGCCACCCCAGACATGCTGGTGGCAGCATCGCTGCACCCCGTCCTGCACGCCCATCTCCAGAGCAGTACACCTGGGCATGGGGTCTGTCCCACCCCCACCTGTCCCCCAAAGCAATCCACTCCCTGTTCCAGAATGTTCTGCAAAGAGCAAGCCCCTCCCCTCCGGGTCCCCCTCGCTCCCTTCTCTATGACGTCCCCTCTGCCACCCACATCCAGCAACCTCACCCCAGGGGCCCTGCCACAGCAGAGAGAGCCCTCTCTTGAGTCCCAGGCTGGCACAAGGGTCACCTGGCATCACACACTGGGTTCCGGCTCCTGTGCTGTGGGCTGACCCCCACCTCGGTCACCGGGCAAGGACACCATCCAGTCCACCCTGTGACACCCATGTGCCTACTCTACCACCCACAAATCCAAGTCCCTAGGGGTCCTCTGAGATGGAGCACATTCAGGGCCTCCCTGCCTGCCGCTGGGGACAGCACCAAGGCCAGCTCCAGGCAGGGTGCGCAGAAGCACCTCAAGGTGATGCTTCCTTTTCTTTTGGGGTCAGTTTGTGTCTACAGAAAATCACCCGATGTGCCAAGGAAGGGTACTGGCCCCAAAGCAACCCCCGCAGGCCCGGTACTCACAGGGGGAGCCCGTCCTGGACCACGTAGGCTCCGTGGAAGCTGCGGCGGTCTGTGGGTCCATCTAGGGTGTTGTACCGGATCTTAGCCAGAAGATCGGGGACACTGGGAGAACAGCAGGGGGCCATGTCCTCAGGAGAGGAGGTGGGGGCACAAGAGGACCCGGGCAATCCCAGGACTCGGCTCACAGAGGGGCCTCTGGCCACAGGTGGTGCAGGGCACGGAAGGGCACGCCCAACACAGGCAGCTGCATCCCACAGGCCTCGGGAGGGAAGGGCTGTCTGGGGGTAGAGGGTCCTTGGGGTCCCTCTAGGAGGAGCCGGGGTTCCAGGGACACTCACTCTCCCACAGGGTCCATGAGGGCTGTGTCCTTCCTCTCGGCCGTGTAGAAAGGAGGCTTGTAGATCAGGAACTCTGTCTGCACCACAGGGTGGCCATCCTCAGGTTGTCCCCAAGATAGAGCGGGGCCAGCACCCCAAGGGACTGAGGGCACTCACAGCTAAGACCACAACCACCAGGACCCAAAGCACCCAAGGGCACAGGGCAGCCCCGAGCCGGGGTTGGGGACAGGGGTCAGCAGGCAGTGACAGGGCCAGGACGGCTGGGCAAATATGAGCCACAGAGGCAGTGCTGGGCTGTGAGGTCTGTGTGGAGCCAGGGCACCAACAAGGCCCCCTCTGTCCCTCAAGCTGTGGGGCTCAGTTTCCCTATCGGTCAAACGAGGTTGGCCAGGCACTCAGGGCCCTGGGGCTTCCAAGCGCAAGAGCTACAAGGGACACCCAGGAGCTGGGGACAGGGGCCCCCTCCCCTCCCCAGAGCTCGGGGCTCAAGCAGGGTCGGCACTCACCTCCCACGGCACCTTCTCGTTGGGCACAGGGAAGCGGGTGACAGGGGAGACGGGGTACAGGAGGTGCCGGGCGTTCACATGGAAGCCGTCGCCTGGCTCCTCCTCCTTCCTTCTGCCAGCCAAGTCGGCATCCGGCTCGTCAGGGGCCTTCGGGGGTGCTGTGAACAGCCACACGGGCCGTGATACCTCACTGAGCCCAGGCTTGGGCACTCCGTCCACCCAGCCCAGACACCCAAACCCTCCCTGGGGCCCGTGACAGTGGGGACAGTGGAAGGAGAGGCAGCACCCTCAGTGCGGTCTCAGTGACTGGCTGACCACGTGGGCCATGACGAGGGGCTGCCCAGTTAACGGGGCAAATTTGCTTTTGGGGACAGCCACATCCAAGGAGGACTACACACGTCCACTTCCTAGCCAGCTGCAAATTCAGGAAAATGGACTTCGCCTTCTGGCACTGGGCCACGTGAGGGTCTCAGACCCCCAGAGCTGCCCACCCCACCCGCTTTCACCGTGAGTCACGGAGGAGAAGGTCCAGGATGGCGGGACAGGCTGCCCTGGGGGTCCAGCGGCCTGGTCAAGCAGGACAGGCCGAGGCCGGGCGCCATGTGGCCAGAAAGGGCTCCGCTCCCTCGGGCTGGTCCTGCGGGGCTCAGGGACCGCTGCGGCCGAAGCTGACTTTCCACCAGGGCCTGCAGCTGCCTCTCCTCCAGCCCACGCGGGCTCAGAGCTGCACAGGTCCGTGGGGACCGGCGCCGCACTCACCCAGGGCAGGCACGCCCGCCGCAGAGCCAAAGCCACTGTCCTTCAGGGTCCTCACGATCCAGTGCAAAGACCCGGCCATCTGGGCCACCTGGAAGGCATGTCCGAAGACAGCTGTGTTGGCACCGCACAGCACACCCGCAGTGCCCCGCCTGCCCTGCCAGTGAGGCTCGGGCTTCGCTCCGGGTGACCCAGCTCCCCCTGGACACCACACTC